TCCTCTCCCTGGTAATCCTTGGCATTCCTTGGCTTGTACCTGTGTCACTTCAATTCTGCCTTCACCTTCACATGGTCTTTTCCCCTATATACTCTCTGTGTGTTTAAATGTTTTTCCATATAAGGACACCAGTCATTGGATAATAGGGCCCACCCTAACCCATTATAACATCACCTTAACTTGATTATACTTGCAAAGACTATTTCCAAATTAAGGTCACATTTTGAGGTTGTGGGTGGGCATTAACTTTGGGAGATAGATACTGTTCAACCCAGTATAGTCCGTCCCCTGGCCTCGCCAAATTTACATCCATCCCACATACAAAATCAATTCACCCCATCCAAGCATTCTTAAGTCTAACCTATTGCAGCATTAATTTTAAGTCCAAAGTCTCATCTAAATGTCAACTCAAATAGTTCCAAATCTCCTTATCTGAATCATCAAAATCAGGCGTGGGTAACCTGTCGTGGGGAATAATTCCTTTCCCATTAGTGAACCTATAAAACTAGAGAACAAATCAGCCTGTTTCTAAAATACAGTGGTGGAACAGGCATAGAATCGACATTCCCATTTCAAAAGGGAGAAGTTGGGTCCCAAGGAAGTTTGAAACATAGCAGAGAAAATTACATTACCGTATTTGCCGGTGTATAAGACGATTTTTTGGCCCTGAAAAATATGCCTCCAAGTGGGGGGTCGTCTTATACACCAGGTACACTTCAGATAGACTGCCCATAGTGCTTGCCCCGTGCCATAGTGGCCTCCCGATGCCCGCCCACTTCATTCCACATACCGTTCAGGCATCAGCAGCGCTGCTGGGTGTATGCTCGGCTGTTATGCGATTTTGCGAGTGTGGTAATTCGGGTTACCGTATATTTCTTTACATAAGCATTGAAGATTTGCGATTTTGCGCTATCATGGTGCCTGTTAGAATGTTGAAGAGCTCGCACTTGCGCACTAGTGAGGTCCCAGGGAGATGCTGATGCAAGGGTGGACCAGACTGCTATAGTGACAGGGCGGGCAAACAGGGAGCAGGGACCAATCAAATCAGGCTTTGTATACAGCCAACAGCCAACCACAATACTGCACCATTGTATAGTACAGCATAGAAAATGTCGACCAGTCAAACCCCTATCATCCCTATCATGGCACCAGCCAAAAGAAAGAAGTATGATGCAAATTTTAAACTGAAAGTTATAAACTTTGCTAAGGAAAATAATAATTGTGCTGCTGCAAGACAATATGGAGTAACAGAAAAGATGGTTCGGGACTGGAAATCAAATGAGAAAGCATTAAAGAGTATGCCAAGGGGTAAGTGTGCATTAAGAAGAGGCACCCCACACTGGCCAGAACTCGAAAAACATGTAGCAGACATGGTGGCTCAACATCGCCAAAACGGTTATGTGGTGACACGAAATACAATACGCTTGTTTGCACTTCAGTGGGCCAAATCAAATCTGATATTGTTTTACCTTTTATTTGGTGTGTGGAAGGTGTGCGGAAGAGGGGATAGTCTTATACGGCGAGTATATAACAAACTCTGTATTTTGAGTGGAAATGTTAGGGGGTCGTCTTATATGCCCAGTCGTCTTATACGCCGGCAAATACGGTATGTGTCAAGGCCTGAGGCAAATCCTGTGGCTCCTCACGGTGGCCCCACCCTTTGCTCCTCTATCCTGCTTTTGGAGTCCTACTCTTTACTTGAAATGTAACACATTTGCTGCCAAGTACCCCTAGCTCTGTAGGTCATTTTCTTGCCTGTGTATGTTGATACACGTACTTATTCATAAATGCACATTTAAATAAACACTAAGAGCACTGCAGTTCAGGACTGCCTAAATGGAGTTTCATGCCTCAGTCGTTATATTTCAGCCTAGTAGTGCTTTTACTGTTGTACGCCGCTTGCTTTGAGGGCTTAAAGAGCTCCTTTGTCAGTAATATACTACAGGCTTTGTGCATGTAGTTCACAAAACCGATATTAGTAGCTCAGACATTTTTTATTTTGCGTTTGTATCTGAATAAATTCCTGAACAAGTGAGCTAATAAGTCAAGCATTATTGTGTACATATTAACTTAAATCATAGAAGACTGTGATGTCCCATGCAAGCAAGATTATATGTAATCCAGTACTTAGAAAATGAAACTACTAGAATTTCTAATATGATTTATTATCCAAAGCTAAATTTCATTACTTTGGAGCACACAGATAAACATTGCTCAGCTCCCTGCTAACGTAACTGGCCCCTTTTGTTTAAGAGTGGTAAACTTGAATTGAGATGCTATTTATAACATATTGGTGACCTTGTTTTGGAGAGAGATGGATATAGGTGGGCTTTCGGGTTCTGAGGCAGGTAGGATTTTCTTTTCCATAGGCTTGCAATAGCAGCTAAGGGTGTTGACTAGAAATTATTTTGTTGTAGGTTAGTCAAGTATGTTTAATAACCTGGTTATTATGTGACCTTGATTAATTGATATTGTAGAACACGTAGTTAGTATCTAACACTGCTTTCCCTAAAGATTAAGCTATAAGCTATACGATTAAACCAAAAGCCTATGGTTTTTGAAAACTTGGTTAGTGGCTCTGTATAAATTTTCTGTCGTTTTATCTTATGTGTATACTTAACGTTCTTACATGGGCAATAGAATGATTAAAATAAAGATTCTAATAGACATGAATACGCGATAGTATTAGGAGGCTTTGCCAACTTATGTGTTTTATAATTGTGCTGTCTTCAGATAGCTTAAGGGATAAATGTACTATTCTGGTATTTCCTACTAATTTTTTTAAAGAAAAATTCCAATTTCCTAGATAAACTAAATATTTAAGAGTTCTCAACCACTGTGGAGTTCCACCATAATGCCACAGTGTGGCGCTGTTGTACTTTGGCTGAATATTTACAAAATCATCTTTTTCTGTTGCTGTCTTATTTTGTGGAATAGATAAGATGCTCTCAAAAGTATGTGAAAACACGCCCACATCAGGTAGCTTAGCTGTACATAATCAGTTATTTGATTGCTTTCCAGTGATTGTGCTAGATTGCTTTTTATGTTTATCAGTTCGTTTTTTTATTAGCATGCATGTTTAAATTTTTTTCCTTGATTGCCCCATCGTATTTAGTTAAAAATCAGAGGGCTTCTTGAAGATTATGAAATTATAACTTGAAGAAACCAGCAAATAAAATGACACTATAGATGACAGTAAGCTTCTCTTTTTAAATTTTAGGCTTTTTGATTGGTATTCTGTTTAAATTGCAATTCCACTCAAAATACAGAGGGTGCCAAAAAGATGTATACACATTTTAAGAAAGGAAAACTATTAAAATTGTAATACTCAATATATACCGATAACAAAAGATGAATACAAGTCACGTTTGGCTTCTGCAATTACAAGAGGTACTCAAAGTGGTTACCATCAGCATCCAGACACTTCTGATTATGGCGAACTACTGCTTGAGCAATGTTGAGCCAAGTGTCCACTTGTATTCATTTTTTTGGCACCCCTGGTATATAATGCTATCTTCCAAATCCAAGATAACTATGCATTGTTATTTACATTGCTTGTGCCAGAATCCAGTCAAGAGGAAACAGTTCATGATTTATGTAGATACAGTGCTCCCAGTATTTAAAATCTTCAGATTTACTTTTATCACTTTGCAAGCTTGCTTGCTTTACTTTGTTTAGTGTATAATTTGTCAAGCCAGTATGTACTAGTGATGCTTGCATTTTAACAAGACAGTTTTTATTAAGGGCCTTAAGGAAAAGTGTTGAGGAAAAAGCACCAGACTGTCAAAGGGGTTCATAGCCCAAAAAGGGTAAGAATCCCCTGCCCTGGGACTTCTAAGATCACATTTTAATATTTCAGTGATGTTCAATGAAATGACTATAGCTTTGCTTGACCACTTTTAGGAAATAATCTTTTAATATTAATATGAACAAATACAAACTGTAGACAGTAGTTGAATTCATAAAATGGATTGAAAAGTTATTCTCCTTGAGAAGAGTAGGGAGCTAAGTATAGATAAATGAGTCTAATGAACTTGAAAATAAATGAGGATCTTAGTCTTGAACTATAGGATCATGTATTATTATAGGGACATTAGAAATGGTTCCTGGCTAAACAAGAGGAGACTATTTTGATAATTTTGAAGTGGGGATAGTGAGGGAATCTTAATTTTGTGGGAGAATTGACTTATATTTTCTACCCTTAAGATAAGTATGGGAAAAGTAGTTGGTTACTCTAGGAGAAACTGTAAACTCCCTGTGAAGGACCATGTCTGCTTTGCTCTTCATGTTATCCCCAGCATCTAGCACTTGGGTATTTTTAGAATGAATAATCATAATAGGATTTCTAATTGTTGATTTCTCAGGGGGTAAGTTAGTGATTAAACGCCAGTAAAGCATTAAGCATGGGGCTTTGACATCCTTCCCCTCCCCATAAACATACTGTGTTGGCAACTGTCCCTTTTAGAGTTGTAGTCAACCAGCTGAGAATGTCAGATTTTGAAGCTGAGTATTTTAGAAATGGGAGTTGGAGTTAGAGTAGACAAGGTTTGTTAACAGAATTGGCAGAGGGACTACCTTTGAAAGGTTTTCTAGAAAATAATGGTGCAGAAGAACATTTAGGAAGTAACTTACCAAATAATAGTTAATGTTCATTTATTCATATAGTAAACATTTGTGGTTCATCTACCTTGGCCAGGCTTTCTGATAGGCCAGTTAGGCAGTATGTGTGAGGGCAGGAACCATGATCGATTTGTTTTTAATCATTAGTTCATTACATATTTGTATAACATTTGTACATATTCTACGTACTTGTAGAATAAACAAATGAACAACGATAGGAAGGTCCTGCCTAGTAGTAAAGAGAGACAAGCACATAATTATAATTTTACTGTGACTATTTACTGTGACAAAGTAAGGTTGGCCTATAGTTTTATGTGCTGTGTTTAACAGATTTAATAATAGAACTGCTATTTTTAATTCTTTATTTCCTCAATTGACAGGTCGTGGCTCAATTTCAGAATTCTTTCATATTATGAAAAGAAAGTTTACCAACAAAGAATGGGAAACAATCAAAAGCTTTAAGGACGAATGGACTCAGCTGGATATGTTTTATAGGAATTGGGTATAATTTCTTTCTGATTTTGAGAGTAAATTCCTGTGATGATTCCATTATCTTTGCTAAAAATAGGAGCACAATTTTTTGGTTACGTGGTAGTTCATACAATGTTTTAAGTAAATAGGTCATTACCTTGGAACTTCATGATTTTTTTTTGTATGCATTATTATAATACATATGAACATGTATTTAATGCTCAATGAGAAGGTACTTACTTTTGAAGCTAAAACGACATTTTATTTATCACTTTTTTATAAATAATGCTTAATGTTTTCTGTTTTAAAGGAACTCATACACGTGAAGTCTTATTTAACAAACACATAGAATTTGCTATATGCCAGAATACATGACTTGAAGCTCTTTATAAGTTAGTTAATGTAATTATAGCAGCCCTCTGAGGAAAGTGCTATTATTGTTACATGTTACACGGGAGAAAGTGGAGGCACTGGGAGCTTAACGGGTTTGCCTTAAGGTCACACTGCTGGCTTTTCTTCATGCTACTATAAGAGTAAAAAATCACATATAGCCATAATGTCGTATAGAGTGAAAAATCCAGATTTGTTGGGCCTGCAGGTTTTATGAAAAATTTTATCTATTAAAAGCTCTAAGAGCAAATGTTTCTTTTTATCTTAGGCACTAAAAGAAAGCTTCATAAAAGCCATAGGTGTTGGGCTAGGATTTGAATTGCAGAGGCTTGAATTTGATATATCCCCATTAAACCTGGATATAGGCCAAGTTTATAAAGAAACACGTTTATTTCTGGATGGGGAAGAAGAAAAAGAATGGGCATTTGAGGTAAGAAATTTATCCGAATTGCTGTTACTGTAAGAATTTTCTTATTTTGTGCATGTATGTGAGATTAATTTGGGGAGGCTAGTCACTGAAGCTAGACACAACTGGAATCCCATCCTGGTGCTGAAGGTGAAGTCAGGGATACTATGAGAACATACAACATGTAAGCCGATACTTGAAAGATAAGTCACAGTGAATTAAATAAAATGGGAAGGGAAAAGAGGCCCTGGAATAGAAAGATCTGTGTGTGTGTAAATGGCCAACGGAAGTTGTTTTGGCTGTAAGGTGATGAGGGGATTCCAGGTTAGACTGATGAGATCATGCAGGCCATTGTGGGTTGGGTCAAAGAGTATGGTCTCTCTCTGTTTGGTTTCTGCCACCAGCAATTCTTGGTTGCCAGTGAGAGAAACCCAGCATAAACTCATTTAGCCAAAAGGACATAGGCTGTTGCAGTGTTTCATGGCACTGGGCCTCAGAATTAAGTAGAATTAGTTACTGAGAACTCAGAACTCTTATATTTTACTTTGCCTGGCTTCATTTTCTCCCACCTTGTTTCTCATTGTGTACACCAGCTTTCTTAACTTCTCTGGTCTGTGTGGCAGGAAACATGGCTGCCTACCACTCTTGCATGTAAACAACCCACAGAGATTGGTGAACTCACTTTCTGTTCCAAGTCCTAAAAGTCCTGGGGAAGGGACTCCCTGGCCTTCCTTGCATCAAGTGCTTATCTCCTGACCAATAACTGTAGCCAAGGAAAGTGGCCAGGTGTCCAGAGCCCAACAAATGGTTATATAATAATGTAGTTGTTCCTGCAGTAATGACCTGAATTGTGTGCAGAGAAGGTCAGTCCCCAGAATAAAGAATTAGTGATGAGTGGATAAAATAGGAGGTGTTCGCTAATTTTTTCAAGAGAATTTAACAGGCGTTAAGTAGAGCATGGTAAGATCAGAGAGTCCCGTCTATGATGGTATGTGGAGATTAAGGACGTGGGATTCAGAGATGTTATGATCTATTCTGTGATTTACAGGACCATCTATTGAGCAACCGGTTACTAGAGAACAAATGGGATTTAAGTTTGAGATGCATTGAAAGCTCTAAGTGAAGGTATCAAGTAGGTGAATAGAATGAAGGGCTGGGCTAGAGGGACAAAAATTCATAATCATTAACGTGTGCATGGTAGTTGAAGTCATGGGATTTAAAGGTACAGCTTTGAGATTATCTAAGTTAGAAGAGAGAGAGACCCTAGGACAGACAGACAGACTCCTGAGAAGACTCATATTTAAAGGTGGGTTGGAGGAGACTGAGAAAGAATGACCAAAATAGTTTAAAGTAAAATACGTTATGGGATCCAAGGGCAGAAAGTATTTTGAGAAAGAGCTGTGTCAAAACTGCTAACATACCAAGTAATGTACGGGTTATATCAATTAAAGAGTAAGTTATATTTAAGATACTATATTTTAAGAGTACAATTTTAAAAATTGTAACCAAAATTATTTAAAAATGCTTTAAGACTTAAAGGGGTAAACCTCAGCCATTTCACTCATGGGGAATCCTTTATTCTCTTTCTTTTGGGGCGGGGCGGGGGGGATCTTTTATTCTTAGTTTGGGGAGGGGGCAGGCCTAGCAGCAGAGTGAGGAGGGGAAAAGTCAATGCTTGGGCCCGTTGTGCTTCACCTTTTTAGGTGGCAAAGTTGTCTGAGGTCCTGGGGACCAAATAGATGCTATGGAAAATGATAGCCACTAGGCTTGAAGTATCTTGAAAGGAGTCCACTCGAAAGGAACTCCAGAAGAAAGAAGCCATGAGTATTCTACTGTGTATTCATTGCTGAGGGCAGGAATTACAAGAGATCAGAATGTACTGCCAGCTCCAGGTAGTGGTACAGGGCGAAAGAGCTGGAAGTGGTTGTTTGATCATTCCACAGATGCCCATCCATGAGATAAGCCAGCATTTGGATACTAGATATGACCTAGGGTTCTAAAAACTGCATTACTTGGACAGTAGCATTTGTCATTACTTTGCCCCTTTCCTTCAATCCCCGTCCTCTCTGCCACCCACCTTAAGGAAACCACAGTGCAAGAGGAAGAATAGAAGAGCAGAGTGAGGCCAAGGGGACGATTGTGCATTTGTTCTAGGATTGAAATGTGGTTTTTTAAAAAAGTTGTTTTTTGAATTGGGGAATTGGGGGAGGGGAACAATGTTGGGGAATTGGGGAGGGGGACCAGCCAAGTTGTTCTTTAATCTTAGTTGTGGGGGCACCAGTCGCCATCTGGCTGCCCGTCGGCAGCTTGTGGCTGCTAAGCTCAAGGTGCTGTGTTACAATCTTAGTTGCGGGTGGGTATAGCTACCATCCCATGAGGGAGTCGAACCAGCAGCCTTGTTAAGAGTGCACGCTCTTAAGCTAACTCTTAACCAACTGAGCCACTCAGCTGGCCCCTGCGATTTCTTTTTTTAAGCCAAAAGTGACTAAAAAGCTATGGGGTTTGCCTAAAGGTTTGTCCAAGAGCTGGAAAGGGAGACCCATCAGGGCACATTTGAAGGCAGCCATGGAAGAATAAACTGTTTACGAAGTGATCCTGAATCTTTTGCCCATTCAGTGTACTAGTTATGTAAATAAGAAAAGTGTATATGTTAGGTGCATACATTTAAGTGGATTGTTTATTACACTATAAACAGGTCCAGGAGGGGAGAGTGAATTTAACAGAATGAGTCTGCTGGTGTGGACAGCAAGAAACCAGGGTTTGGGGGAGAATGATGAGCCTAGAGCTAAAGAAGGCATACCTGGAGTTGAGAAACGCCAGGTAGGAGGTTCCTGTCAGGGCACCTCTAAAACCCCACAAGGTAAATGGCCTTTGGGCGTGCAGCTGAGGGAGGGCTGCGACTAAAGTCACCACGGTGGCATGAAAGATCTTCACTGCCCTGTCCTCCTTTTCCTTCTTAACCCTTCCCGTTTTCAGGCACACACTAAATTCACCCACTCTAGAAGAAGGAGGGCAGCATAGTGGCGGGGGGGGGGGGACACGGACTCTGGAGTTAGGAAAGGAGATGAAATTAGTCCCTTTCTTTCCCTGTTGGAGGCTTCCAACTCTGAATTAGGTTTGAGCTGGCTTTGTGAGAGGAAGATGCTCTTTATGAGGTGAAAATAAAACTGAATTTCAATTAAACAGGACAAAGCATCTTGATTCAGAGAAAATACGATACTTGAGAGTGATTAAAAATGTCATTTATAAGATCTGTTCAAGATTTCATCCAGGGAAAGAGAAAAAGGAATTGTCAGAACTTGTTTAAAGGGAAATGGTTAAGAGAGAATAAGTTGCCTTCTATTCCTACACCATGGAGTCTAGCTCCTTTAGTAAACTGAAGACAAGGTACGAAAAAGGTTCAGCCCTTCCTCACTTCTTAAGTGTAACTCCGAATGAAAGGTCTGCACAGGACAGCTTGGCAGCAGTCTACTCCCTCTTACCCTGTTGTGCAGACACTACCTGAAACAGCCAGTCATGACCAAACACCATTGGCCCTATGACTAGGTTTTTTTTTTTCATATGTATTTGGTGACTAAATTTAAGTATACAGGCCATTTGAGAAAGTAGTGTTGCCTGGGCTGGAGACAGGACAAATCCCTAGTAAACACTACATGCTGGCGACTATCTCTTCTAACCTGTGAGAACAGGTTAGCTAAGCTGAAAAAAAAAAGTCCTAGTTCTGCTGGCAGCATTAAAAGAATGCCTGCAGGACACCAGAAATAGTAACAACCTTAGCTCTAGGTGTGCATCTGGAAGGTATCCACTGGCACCGAAGTAAATGATGCGGAAAGCTAAGGATACGATCCTCATCCGAGCAGAACTACAGGACAATGCCATCATAGGACATATGGTAAAATTCTACATCCTAAGAAAAAAGGAACATTAATTTCCTTGAACATTCAAGAACGCTGTAAGTGAAAATTATAAAGAAAACGAAGATTTGAAAAAATACCTGCTTACTGTCTTTAACATTCAAGAAGAGAGCATCTCTAAAATGGAATCTGAGAGCCTTAAGGAGAGAATAGGTTTGTCATTAAAAGAGAGCTGTTAGTGGAAGGTAGTCTGAAACCATCTGTAACATATAATAGTGTATAGAAAAGAGGACAAAACCCCTGAGACTCATACTTAAAAAATGTGCTTCATTGCCACCCTCTGAATGGAGACATTTTCTTAAGCGTTTGTTCCTTTCGTTTCACGGACCCACTCACAATTAGCAGTCTCAAGCAGTCTACCTTTCTGTATATAATTACTAAGTCTAAGTCATATTCTTCCACTCTCAGACTCCTCTATTTCTCACTACTGTGTGTTTCTAGCTGAAGATTCCATAGACACCTTAATTTCTGCAGATTACCCTTTAAGTTATTTCTTTTGCTAACTTTGCTTTTTTGATGGTACCACCATGTCATCATCCAGGATAAAAAGCCCAGACCCATTTTTGGTTCCTCTCCCCCTCCCCTTTTCATACCAGTCGGTTTAGTTAACAGTGGCATGCTCCCCTCTGAAAACTTTGCCCCCTGCCATTTCCCCAGCATGGACTCTCTTTATATCTGACTTGGACTCATTCAAGTAAGCTCCCATCTGGGTTCCTGTTTTATTATTTTGCTTCAGTCTTCATCACTCCCTACGTGTGTACTCCACCTCGCAGGCAAATCACAATCTGCTATTTCTTCAGTATCCCCAGCCCTTTTTATGTTTTTTCTAGTTCTTCCATGACCTCCCTCTCAACCACACCCGCCATCACCCCGTCTCCTTCCTGCCCAACTCGGGAGACTTTTCTTTATTTCCTTTAAGACCAAGTTATTATTTTTTTCTTTCTTATGACTTACCACATTTTGCCTCATAATCTCTGCACTTATCTACTTGTTTAACTTCCCCAGTGCTTTTTCCTGAGGGCAGGAGCAGTATCTTATTTAGCATTATATCTGTTACAGACCTAAAACGGTAACATGAACATCATCAAGAGTCTATTATTTATTACAACAAATTCAAAGGATTGTCCACTTACCTGAATATTGTATTTTACACTTGGAAAAATAATACTCTAGAAAAAGTAGGAAATCTTACGCTAAGAGGAATCTCATATTTTCATAGGTTCTCAATTTTCATAACCAGTTTCTGTTAGGAAAGTTACCACCAAAAAGTTTCAAATGATGAGATTAGATGCTTTTTGAAAGGCAAATACTTAAGTAAGTAGAAATGTTAACATTTAAAACAGATACATTCCATTGGGGAAAAATTATAAAATTTAACTGTTTTAAGTTATAGCTTAAACTTTTATTTTACTTTGTTTATAAGGCAGAATACATACTAAGAAGAGGATATACAATTTTACTGAAGCAGATTGATCTTTGTAATCTAACGCTAAGCTCTCTCCTAAAAAGATAAAATATTTTTGTTCATTTGGGTTTGTTGGAGATGATAAAGACATTTGGTATTCATAGTAATTTTATGGATAAAAAGTTATAAGATTAGGAAAATCTTAAAAATTTATAAAGTCTTAAAATTAAACTTGAATGAACCAGCTTGCCTAGCTAGCTGGCTTGCTGCTGGTTTCATTTCTTTTGTAACTAATAATTTATTATAAGTCTCATCCTAGGCAGAAGGGATTTAGGGCAAAGTTCATCACCTCATAGAGCTTTTATTCTAGAGGGATATCAAATATTAATGTTTGATAACTGAGCCTTTGTAAAATAGCTTTTCTTGTTTTGCTGTGTCAAATTTTGTGTTTATATGATGCTGATGAGGTCTGAGTAGATACGAATTTTTATTTTGAAATCAGTCTCATTGAAATTTGGCTTGCAACAAGGTAAGTGGATAAATTGTGCAAAGCATGTTGGCATTTTAGTAAACAGGCTGAACGAGAAAAGTGGTAATTGCTCATGATTACCTCTGCTATTTGCCTAAGGTACAGACACTGCTCATCTAAGTGGTTTTCCAAAAGTAATTATAACTAAAACATCTTTCTATGTTACAATGTTCATATTATCAGTATATTCAGTGTAAAGAATGGGAGGATAACCATGTATAAAAACAATAGTTTTGTTTATTATAATAAATATTGTGAGCTTATTTTTTTAGGGAAAATAACTGACCTATTAAATCTTTTCTAATACATAGCTAGTTACAATTTTTTCCTTAAACATACTTTCCTAAGTTTATCCTTACTGAATTTTATTTTTTGCTAATTTGGATATATTAAGATATGAAGAAAAGAAGAGGGTAAAGGATGAAAAATCTTTAAGTAATACTATTTCTGATTGTAGCTTCCTATCTCAACTGATCTCTTATGGAAGAATGCCTTAATGCCTTAATAAAGTGGCCTTTTTGTGAAAATTTTGTTTAATTTTTTTATAGTTCATAACTTTCTCTGGTAACCTTTTCAGTATCACCTTGTAAGGCGCCCCCCTTCCCCCGTTTTGTCTCATACATAGGGGAAAATAGAAAATTGGATATTATTTGTCTTACCTATAAAATTTCACCATGATTTTCCATAGGCTATAGTATATAGTCAACTAAATGTTTATAAACCCGTGTTGCAATCTTTTTTAATGCTAACTTTAAGCATATACAGAATTAACATTAGTGAGGCAGATGGCAATCTAGATGTGCCTCTGGATAGCACACTTCATCTATGTAGTCTCTGATTGAGAATGTGTTATATAAATAATCATTAAGAAACATCAGACAAACCAAAAATGAGCAATGTTCTATTAGTAAAAAGGAGAGAAGGAGGCTTGTATTTTAAAATATTTAATGTCGAAAGGCTAACAAGACATGACAGCCAAATGCAATACTTGACTCTAAACTGCCTACTGTACTGGAGGGGGGGAATGCTGTAAAGGATATTATTGGATTAATTCAAAATTTAGAATACAGAGTATATTGAAGTATCATTTCCATGTTAAATTACCACAGTTATTAACTGCTGTGGTTATGTGAGAGAATATCCCTGTTAGGAAATACATGTTGAAATATTTCAGATTAAAGGTTCAAAATGTATGTGACTTTTCCATAAATGGGTTGGGGAGAGGGTGGGGGAGGGGGGGAAGTGTGTGTGTGTGTGTGTGTGTGTAAATGTGCGCGCGTGTGTGTAGAGAGAGGTTGAGATTTTTAAAATGTAAACGAAAGTATTTCTAAGTTTACACATTTAGTAATCTGTCTTTACTTAACCTTTTATTTTTCAGGAAAGCAAAATAGATGAGCACCATTTTGTTGCAGTAGCTCTTAGGAAACCCGATGGATCTAGACATCAGGATGTAAGATTTTAAGATTTCTCTGACTTATGTTTTAAAAGCATGAATCAATGCTGAGTTTGTCTTTATTGATAGAAATAATCATTTGGTTTATATCAGGTTAGAAGGCTTTTTTGTTTGTTTGTTTGTTTGTTTATTTTTAGATTATAGATTTAGAAGTTTTTTTTGTTATCAAATCCTTAAGATCATCTGAGATTGCACAGAAAATTTTAAGAAGCATGTTACCTGTTTTATGCTCGAATACTTAAATGTTGCAAAGAAAAACCTTTGGTAGTTCTTTCCTAGTACTCATAGTTTGAGTTGAAATTCAAGAAAATCACTGCCTTAGTCATCTTAACAGTGGTTTATTTCCCAGTGAATTGGGACTGTTTGAATAGAAAGGTACCAAGTTGATAGAGAGTGAGTAATGGAATTATCTGGCAAATTTAACCTCTTCCCCCTTTTATAGGATGCTCCTCAATTATTTATTCCCAAGTTATAGTGTGAAACACGTGAGAGACCTTGTATCATATTCTGGCATATCATCAGTCTCAATTCTTCCAATCATAATCTAGTTTTACTTTCTTGTGCTGTTGATTGCTAAGTGGAAAATTTTTTTTAAAAACCTTAGGGTCAAGGACTCTCAGCCTACATATAGTTGTGATTTTGTGATAGTATAACATTTAAGGAATACTGATAATGTTAAAATAATTGAAGCTATATGTATATCATTAGGGAATCCATGTGAGAAAATGTGGTGTGATCAATGTATACATCATTATCTCTAGAAAAATAGCTCAGTGCACAGACCATGCCTTTGATAGATTAACAAAGGATTAAAATTCTTCAGAGATTACCTTCCTTAAAAAGGGGTGGCATGTTAAAATTGATCCCTGTTATCTGAAGATGTTCTGTCCTTGTTACCTGTCCTAGCTTACCTCTGCTCTACACTCTGTGAATACCTTATGCTTCCATAGAGCTTTATTATATTTTTGTAACATTTGCACATGCAGTAGTTTCTTTCTATTTCAGTGGCAGGATCGTATTTAGGCAGCATCATAGTGGGAAAAGGAGAAGGATGCTATTCAGAAGGCCCAGGTCTACCGTTTAAACTGTATTGTGAGCTTATGCAAATTGGTTGATCTTCCTGAGCCTGAATTTCCCCATCTATAAAATTGAGAAAACAACCATATCAGCATAGTTGTGAGATATAAATCACATAAAATAGGTACTGACCTTGTTAAAGCACTATGTAACCCAAATAGTATTTTTACTAGAATGTGTAGAATGTTAAAGGAGGTCTACATTGGGTTGAGTTTTGAACAAGGGCACTACTATCTCAGAGTATAAGATACAGTTTAAATTCAGTGTGGAATGAGTCACTTCCTAAAGAAATGTTGCATCTCTGTGTGGTTAATGGGAATTTTATCAGACCTACCTTCTAGAGTATTGCTCAGAAGTTTGCCTGGTGCCCACCCCCCTCCCCCCGCCCACAATCAGAATAACCCACCTGCTTGTCATATATTTTGGGATTCCTTTTAACTGATCTACTGAATCAGAATTTTTGGATGTGTGGCTCAGTAAGTCTACATTTTAAACAAATACTACAGGTTATTGTTATATACAAAAAGCTTGAGAATCAGGTTATTTCATATTTTTCTTAATTTGTTATATTGGTAACACTAATATAAGGAGTAAAAATAATTATCTAGAAATCCTACTATGTTGTAATTTTACTGAAATGTGATTTGGTCTTATTTCTTATATTTTCCTAATTATAAAATTGATCATAATGTTAATATGCAGTGTAACAATGAACTTATCTATTTCTTCCCTCTTAGGTTCCATCTCAAGATGATTCTAAACCATCCCAGAGGCAGTTTACTATTCTCACCTTTAATGATTTAATATCATCTGCTGTTCCTATGACCCCTGAAGATCCTTCATTTTGGGACTGTTTTTGCTTCACAGAGGAAATTCTAATACGAAATGGTACAAAGTCATGATATGATAAGTAACAAAGGGAAATCAAAACTGTTTGTAATATTCTGTATTCACTAAAAAATAAATGCCTGATAGTATCATTTTATTTCACAAAACAGTTTAAAAAAGAAAGACACAACTTTTCCTATTAAAAAAGCATACTCCCAGTTCAAGATAGCTGAGTAGAATACATGTTTATCTTTTCTTCCTCCCCAGAGTCACATTGGATTGACAGAAGAGATAGAAAGGGTGGCAGAAACTTAAAGTGATACAGGCATACCTCATTTTATTGTGCTTCGCTTTATTGTGCTTCACTCTATTGCATTTCACAGGTGTTGCATTTTTTACAAATGGAAGGCAAGACCCTCCACTAGCAAAAAGATTACGACTCGCTTGATTACAGTGGTCTGGAACAGAACCTGCAATATCTCTGAGGTATGCCTGTACATGCTTATTGTAGCAAAAAATAGAAAATGCAAATACGCAAAAAGAAAACATTTAAATTCCTATCTTTCAGAGAGAACTATTTCAGAGAGAACTGTTTCTAAAACCTGGAGTGTATTTCCAGATCTTTCTCTTGGTAAATGAATCTGTATTAATATACTTGTTTGTTTGATTGTTGTTGTTGTTGTTGTTTTAAAAAGATGGGAACATACTGTTTTGTAATTTTTTTTTCCTTTTAACTGCACATCTGCTGTTCATAAAAATGTACTTCTGTGGCATAACTTTTACTGGCCCTGAAGTTTTCTGTTGTGTGGCTCATGTCAGGATGCTTTTGATTAGCGGTAGCAGTGTCCAAATTGAATTCACTTAAGTAACCAGGGCCATTTGTATCTCACACAACACAGTTCAGAGCTGTCATTAAGGACCCTCTTTTTGCCGCAGCCTCAGTTTGTTTTGCCTTAGGCTTATCTCCCTCCTGGTCGGTCATAGGAATTGCTGCTATAACTTCCAGCTTCATGTCTTCATAAAACTGCATCTAAAAGAAAAGAAAGTCCATTTTTCCTCTTACATCTCAATTTTGTCCGTGAGGAGTACATTTCCCACAAGCCCCCAGAAGATTTCCCCTCAGTTTCCCTTGCCTCAGATCAGGTCGCTGTAGCAGCTGATCTCTGACATGATTAGCTTCTGCGGGAAGTGGCCCCTTGGGAAGGGAGAAGCTAAGCCAAAGTTGAGGGGAAGCCCACACTGCCTGCCCTAAGGAAGTTATGCCACAAATTGACTCATTTTCTCCTATTTGTTAGACATTTTGATTGTCTGAGATTTCACTGTCAGCAGTGGTTCAATGAATATTCTTGTAACCACATTTTGAAATACAATTTGAAATTTTTTCAAGAACTGTCCTTGAGAAAGTTCTGGAAGTGGAATGATTAGTTCAAAGGGTTTAAAAAGTTTTTAATAAGTATTGTCAAATTTCTCTCCGAAAAGGCTGTACAGTTTACACTTCCAATTAGTTTTATATGTGTGACACCCTTTTACTGCCCCCCCACCCCCCACATACTCCTTGGTCATCTGTAGATGCTATTTTTTTTAATGTACTCTTTGCCAATATAAGTGGAAAATGGTACCTTATTTTTAATTTGTATTTCTTTCATTACAAATGAGGTTGATATGTCAGTGTTCTTATTGGCTATTTGTATTCCTTTTTTATGAAAGATCTGTTCATTGTCTTTGCTTGTTTTTATTTTAGTAAATAGGGCTTAATTTAAAGTGGGAACATAATATATAAGATGCCAAGACCATCATATTGATGACAGAATCTATTACATGGTTATATAGTGCATGTCTTGGGGAGTTAAAGTCTTATTATTGTTAAATATCAAGAAGTGAAATAATTTCATTGTTTCTGTTACTAAAATTGAAAGTTGTGTGTAAATTGTATACAATTAGATACTTCGCTTAGTAAAAAAGATTTGGAATGTTTTATAATTTCTTTATTTTATTAAGCATGCCAACATGTTCCAAGCATACTAAATAACGTGTTTTAAAAGATCAAGTAGCATTTATAATAGAAGAAGCATTGTTACCTCTAGCATGAATGTAATGGTGATATGAAAAACTCATCTGTCTTGTCATTATAATAATAAAATGATTAACATATTGAATTTTTATGAGCCAGATACTGCGCTAGATTTTGTGTTTTTGTTTTTCTGTTTCTTAAAGTTACACACACACATAAAGAATCAAATAGACCTACAAAATTATTTTTCTAGATGAAAAACACCATTATCTTGACCTCCCCCCATTTCCTGTCCCCAGAACAAGCTCTTTCAACTCTTTTGGCTGATTTTTTTGTTACTTATAACCATATCTCCAATTAACATGGGTATATTGCTTTTGCTTGATTTTTCAATTTTAGGCAGTTCTTGAATTCCTAATATAAAGCTTCGCTATTCTGCTTTCCTGCATTACACATTTCCTTCCTGTTTCCTTTTCCCAGCATAATTATATTGTAATTCAGTGTTAACACTATTGACTTGTGATTAAGATTATGTAATGTGCACAACTGAGTGTTATTCTTACCCTATAATGCATTTTTATTTCCTTGCGTTAGTAATTGACTTTGCATAGGTTTCTGTGTACTTATTGCTAATTCATCCCAAAACTCTAATAGATGTATGAGTATCTTCTCCGTAAGTTCAGAAATAGGAGTTGTTCGATCATTTTCATCCATTTTCTTGAAGAAATCATTCCTGTTTTGTCCTGTCAGGACTTCTTGCCTTCTGTAGCTGGTGCATAGTTGTCATCCTTAAATCTCCCTTCACCATCATCGTGGGGATTACTGGCCTCTCCCCTGTGTAGGATTCCCTGATTTCCCATTTCCTATATCTTATGTCTTGCTTAGATTTACTCCTTCATTAGTGTGAATCATACCTCCAGTTGCTTCCTGAGAGAACAAGATAAATGTTTGAGACTATGAGGAAAGGGCAGTCCCCGTATGCAGAGTGGTAAAGGAGATCTAGCTGCTGCTTACACAGATTACTCCATTCCCTTCCACCACCAAAGCCCAGTATTTGGTGCTGCCAACTGTTGAGTCCTGTGCTGGCTTGGACCATAGTACTGCTTCATACCCATGTTTTGCTGAGTCCAAAACCATTCCTTGCATTATACCATATTGCCCAATGGGTAGCTTTATTGGTTTCTATTGCGTTTCAAGCATAGGAACTCAGATTGATTTTTAAAATGGGTCTGTGTATGTATGTGTGCATATATGCATATTCACATACTTATTGCTATTCAAACTCAAGAATTGAATAGGTTTGGGTAAATTTTTAATTAAATCTTTCTCCTTACTACTCAGTATCTGAAACTCAGAAATTAGCTAGGTTTGGGTAAGTCAGTAGCCCCTCACTAGCTGAACTATTGCCATCTAAACTTGAAAACTAAATAGATTTTTAAATACATGTATATACATACATCTTTGATCACACAGATGTCTGAAAACAACTCCATTTACTAGTACTGAAAGGATATGAAGAGAGCTAATGATTTCATTTTATGGAGAAAATAAACCTGCCATCATAGTGTTTGTGAATTTGGGATTGGCAAAGGCCTTTGGACATATCTCCAGTTAACAGTTTTGTCTGTCTTAAAGCATTTCTATTAGAATAGCGTCTTCCTTTATAAATGCTTCACATGTATCAAGCTATTCAATTCTCATAACTGTATAGAGTGGATTCTATTCCCATTTTACTGATGGGGAAAATAAAGTGCTGAGATACGAAGCAACTTTCTAAAGATCATACATACATCCATTGAATAGTGGACTTGATATTTGAAGAAGACAGCTTAGATTCCGAGCCTGAACTCCACCTATACTGAACTCCATTATACTGGCACATGTAACAACAAGCAGTCTTGGGGCGGGGATCATGGGTCTGGGAGCCTTCGTAGCTTTTGCTGATTTCATGAAGTAATGCCACATGTGTAACCAACACCTAGGTTTAACACATGCTGTTTTGCCATATTTGCTTCACATTTTCATTTTCTCCACATGCAGCTCAAAAGACCTGTCATCCCTAGTTACACCTCACTCTCTTCATCTCCAGGAATAACCTCTATCGCTTCTAGTTTTATGCATTAACTAACTACTTGTTAGTGGGTAGATTTATGTCCTATATATCCCATTAGGATCGAAACATCAGGGTGGGGTCTCTTCATTACTTAAAAGTGGCAGTAGTGTCAGAATAATGAGTTCACTTAAGCCCAAAATTCTCAAGGAAATTATACATACCCTTAGGGGTAGGCAATGGTATGTTAGGAGTTAGAAGGGACACTTAGAGGCATTCATTTTATTTTAATTTTTGGAAAAAATCTTTTTTTAATAAAAGCACTATAGATACAAGTAAGTAGAATGCAAACTTGTCTGTGTTTTAAGACAAAAGGTGAAGGGGCTTCAGAGGAATTTTCATGCCTAGGAATATAGAGTCACTAATTTTAGGTCATTTTTCAGTGGAAAAGATGGAAAGGAACCAACATTAGGAAGAAGAAAAGTAACATTTACTGACTGAGCAGAAGTAGAGAGCCTAATGCTTGGTGTAATGCACCCTTTTGCAGGTCACTTTGAAGAGAGTGCCCTGTGCTAGGTGTAAGGTCGCTTCTACTGGCCAGACCTTAAGCAGTAGGTACGTGGAAGGAAGCCCAGAATTTTAGTGGTCCTGACTACCCAATTTTTTTGTTGATACTTAGCATCTTTCTGTGCTCTTCCAGTATTGCATGAGGCAGGAAGCCTGCTAAACCATCTTTTCTTCACCCTTCTAAATCCACTCCACCCCCTCACCCTGCTCAGTATCCCATGAAGTTGATTTCTATGCACTGTGTTAACCAGAATCCCTTTTCCTTGTTTTAGTTTTGCAGATTGTAGTGGCCATGAGAAGACTTGAGTGGAGAGGGAGGTCAGGGCGTTTATTCTCTTGCCTTTCTCCCTGCTGTGCAGTGGTTTGGAAACAGCTGTGTTCCTGTGCATCTCAGCTCCTGACATAGCCCTCTCCTCCAGACAGATCTCACAGGTTCAAGGAGCTACTTTCCCTTGCGTTTTCTTCTTAGTACAGTCATCTTGCTTTTGCTTAGCGTAGGCTGCTTCACCATCTCTTGTAGGGTCCTTTTGTCCTTATCTATATCTTCCTTCACTTCTTTTGGGTGTCATCTGTTTCCTGCTGCAGTCCTGAATAATGTAGTAATTTGTACCATGAGTAGCCCCAGGAAACAGCCTCAAAGTGGGATTCTGGGATTAGAATGCTCACATATTTGATAGATATACAAATCACTTTCTTGCCGGGGAAGTGGATACTTGTAATTGGTGGCAAGAGGTGATTTCACATTTACTCAAATTATCACTAGTGGTGTAGGGTGATGGGGGACAGAAAGGTATAGGACCTGGCATTTAGTCACTGGCCATGGTGGGGATTACAGAGGTTGTTTTGAGAGCTAGTTGTTTTGGATGTCCAGTGTATACACATAGGAAAAGAGACAAAAGGAAGTGTGAAATAGAAAACTTAACGGCAACTTTAAGGGAATACCTTGTCTTTTGTAGCTGACAGAAGCAGCCCATCCTGTCTGAGGGAATCAACCTTACCTTACCCTTTACAGCCCCCAAGAAAAAATGGTGTCAGTGACTGCAACCAAGACAGTCCTCATAAGGGTATATCAGTCCTTCTCAGGGTCCACAGCTGTCATCCATCTTTAATTCCTAGGAAATAATCAACTGATGCCAGCATGTCCCAAACAGAGGTACAAGATTGAGACCTAGAGAAGGCATCTGTGCAGTAGAGTTGTAGGCTGCTCCGCTTTGCATTGACAGGAGTCTGGGGAACATGTGTGGAAATGAATTCTAAGAGTATTAAACCAAAAAGGATGACATAAGATAGGCCAGACATAATGCTATGGGTGTACCCACACAGGAAATAGGATTTGACGTGTTGGCTTGAGAACCTGTGAATGACTCTAGCTGCTTACCTTCAACTAGGTTGAAATGTCAGAACTTGCATGGCAGCTATAAAGGGAAAGTCCCAAGTCCTGGGGGATAGGAATGTCTGTCTGCTCTGTGCAGTCCTGCTCATTACCACAAGCTTGGCTTTACAAGAACATGTATTGTCAGTTCTGGAGGCCAAGTTTCACTGGGCTGAGATTAAGGCGCCAGCAGGGCTGTGCCCCTTCTGGAGGCTCTAGGGGAGAATCTGTCCCTTGCCTCTTCTAGCTTCCGGTGGTGGCTGCCAGCATCCCTTGGCTTTTGTTCACATCACTGCAAATCTTTGTCTCCACGGACACTTGGGACCCTCTTTGGCGTGCGTCAAATCTACCGCTCTTACAAGAATGCTTGTGATTGCATTTAGGGCCCACATAATCCAGGATTCATGATCTTTAAATCACACCTGTGGTCTCTTTTGCCATGTAAGGTAACAGTCACAGGTTCAGGGACTTGATATCTTGGGGGGAGGTGGGGCATTAATCAGCCTACTACACAAAGTATGTCATTCAGCAGGTAAATGGTTAAATCAACTGGTATATCTATACGATGGGGCACTACCTTGGCAATAAAAAGGAATGAACTATTGACACACATTACAACCTGGATGAATCTCCAGAGAATTATGCTGAGTGAGAGCATGACAATTCTAACAGGTTACATACTCTATGGTTCTATTTATATAACATTCTTTCAATGATAAAATTATAGGAATGGAGAGCAGACTGGTAATTGCCAGGGATTAAGGAGGAGATGGGGGCAAGAAGGAGGTAGGTATGGCTGTAGAAGCACAACGTGAGGGATCCTTGTGGAGATTTTAATGTCATGTATCTTGGTGGCATCAATATCAAAATCCTGATTGTGATACTGTTCTGTAGTTTTGAACGCAAAGGGTACAAAGAATATCTATTTTATAGCTACATGTGAATTTACAATGATGTCCAAAAGCTTAATTAGAAATTTCCTTTCTTGAAAAACGAGTGGTTTGTTTTCCTGACTGAACCCAAACTGACACAATCCCATCTCCTCAGTTCATCCCTGAAAAGGTTGGGTGCTGTCCCCATATGTGTTTCTATCTCCAACCCCTCACCATCTACTGAAACCCTTTTATAGTGCCCTCAAGAATTCAAGGTCAGTCATTAGCTGCATCTTCCTTA